TGTGTGACTCCGCAAATTTAATTCAGCCTTCCCGTGCTCGCGTGTAACACGTATGGCCCACGTATAGCATCCTATTCATGATTTTGGGGGAAGGGCTGCAACCTTAATTTTTATAAATTCTTCAAAAATCCTCATTTTGCTCTGACAGAACAGTCGGGTGTTCAGGAAGAACCAGTACCACCGTTGCCGAGTACACCAATGCCTCGCGAGCCACCGCCTGGTATTGCAACAAATGAGGTTATACCAGCGATCGTGCCACCTCCAATGATCCCGAGGAGACATCATGGATACACCGCTGTAACAAATAATGAGCCTTCGGATGCAAATGCGCCACAGGTTTCAAATTTTTTTCATTCTCCGTGAAAAGTTTTTGTGCAGTTTCTATTTTTATCTGCAGCAGTTGAGGCTGTACTGACGATTCTCATTCCTACTCGTCTCTGATGCTCTTTCTGTACTTACATTTAAGGGATAAAACACAGACTGCAAAATGACCGTAATCTTTTCGATAACCGGCCTGAACCTTACTAGATATGCTCCATACAGAGGCCTCTCCGAGAGATAACAGACGAGTCATTTTGGAGAAAAGTGCATAGAAAATCCAGTTAAAGGTTTGGAAATTCGATTGAAATAGTACAAGCAAAACCGGAAATGCAACAAACTCGCCTGAAGGTGATCGCAAAAGTAGCACTTTTTGCTAAGATAGGGACCGAAAAGGTATCGAATTTCTCGTCTTCATTTCTCCGGATCCTTCGGATTGTGGCATGCTATTTACAATACCAATTCCTATTTTCCACATCTAACAAATGGAATTTGTGGATCTGGTTGTACGGTATTCGCTAAGTGGTTTGGTGTGTAACGTTGTTACCACAAACAGTGCACACTTTCAAATTTTTGCCCTCATTTTGCTGGTATTTGCGGCAAAAAAAGTAATTTTGATGTTTTAAAATTTGGGAAGCAAAGTTTAAACGCAGCATTTAGCTCTAAAGTGCTAAAATTTAGTAGAGAAGTAGATATGGGTTTCTGTATTCATCGAAGATGCAATTTCCCTTAAAAAAAGGGCTGTTTAAAATGTGGTAAACTTTTTTATGGTGTTAGATGAGTTGCTTATCTGTAAATGTGTGACGTTATTTCCTCTTCACGATGTCCTCGTAAGTTCTGAAATGATTAAAATGCTGATGAAGGGTAAGTTTGTGAGGCTTTGAGCAGGCTTATTTGTTTGCAGGTGGGAAGGCGACTGGAAAATTTACAGTTGGATAAAATGGAGGATCTCTTCGATGATGAATTTGATCCACGGGCGGATGAGCGGAAAAAAGCAGCCGAAGCAAAAAACAAGGATAAATTTGGTCTCGACCCATTTGGTGATGATTTCATGAACGATGTTCTTGTGAGTTTTGCTTTTCAATGTACTGGCTCCAGAATTTCCTTTAGTGGGGAGTTCTAGACAATGCAATTAATAACTGCGCTTGCCAATCAGTCAAATTAGCTATCAGCTTGTTTTTGAGCGATTCTCGCAAGAATAAGTTACTGACAGTTTTGTAGGTAATTGATTTCCAGTAAGTACTCTGGCGCTTCGGAGAGTTTTTGCCTCTCAAAGAGTAAAATCGGGGAGAGGCCTTGGATTTTTTTTTTTTTAATTTTAACATTTCGCATTTGTTTGTTTTACTGGATGATTTTTTTTTTTCATCGAGGCAGAGTCTGGAAGCGAAGCCAAAAATTGATGCACCGTCAGGAAGTTCGGAGCATGAACCGACACCGGAACAATTTGACGAAATGTTATCGATGGTATGAATTAAAAAATTTTTCTGGCTTTCTATACACATACTTAGTTGAAATTTAGCTCGTGGCTTAGCTCACTTACTGTGCATCTAGCAACTGTTCCAGCTACACTGACCGGTGCTACATCACAAGATGGTCAGTTTGTGGACATTCCTGCTATTAGTTTGTTTTGCCTTCAAAGAAATTATCAACAGCTCAGCGATTTTCCCCACAAAAACATTTGGGCAAGGTTTTACTCGTTCCGAAATATTTCTGGCGTATGATGAGCATCACTCCCCTCATCCGGAAGATTGTCACCTTTCGACCACGATGAGGTACCTAATCGACTAAGCGTTATGGTGCTTAAACGAGGGTCTCATCTGATGTTTGTTAAGCGTGATGCACAGAAGTTATTATCGGGCACCTTGTCGAAAAAGCTGGAAAAGGTTCGGAACAAATGATCCCAGATGAAGACCTAGCCTGGTTGTGTTTGGTTGGCATTATGGACCTCACACCGGAAGTGCGGTGCTACTTTTGAAAAGAAAATTGATCCTAACTGTTTTCTGTCATTTTTTTTAGGTGGATAAACGTCTAACGGAATTACGCGATGGATTTGCGTCCGGTTTGGCAATGGGTGATACCGGCGATTCGGCCCGTGATTTGCACACCATCTACAGTATCCCGACGCAATCTCCGGAAGCCAGTGCTGCTGGTGGTGATCTGAAATCGCTAACGAATCCCAGCAATCAAAATGGCCACACATGATTTTATGTTTTGAGGCCTCGAAGCCTAGCCAAATCTCGTTGTTCGGTATTTTCCATTGTGTCTTTGATATATCCCGTGCATCAGGTTTATAGCCTCAGTGGCATCGCTCAGTTCCTTGGCCTGGCTTATTACTTCTGGGCATGCATAAATCATTGATGTCCTATATCAAATTTTTATTTTTGTTCACTTCTTTTCTATTGGTTTTTGTTTTTAAAGGCTTCTAATGCTTTGGAACTTAAAAAATGAAAATTTTGAAATATAATTAAGTGCCTTGAAATTATGCGGGGAAATTAAGATTTGTTTGGAAATGAAATTGCGCTTTTTATTCGTTCTCCTGATTTCTTCAGTTGGGACTTTATTTAT